TTTTGTTTTATTTTTGTGGTGCTGGGGATTGAACTCAGCGCCTTGCACACATACTAGGCAAGCGCTCCACTACAGGGCTATGTCCCCAGCCCGCTGTAAATGCTTTTTATTTTATTTTATTAGCATATATTGTGTCCCCACTTCCCTTCAACATTAAAACTGGACATTTTTACTGTCACAGATATAAATGAGTATCCTTAAAAGGACCAGTTAAACAATGGGGTGAGCACCTCCCCATCTCAAGGGAGGTCGTGAATGGCAATTTACCCTGTGACAACCCAGGTTCCTTTCTACATAGATGCATTCCATGAGCGGGGGCTTGTATCACTTGACGTTTATGGCAACAGAAGAGACAGTGTGTCAGATGTCCGCATGGTGTGCAAGGTGTCGGGGTTTGGGGAGCGTCTGGAGCTTCTGATGCTATCTGGGCTGGCATGCTGTCACCACGCATCCTGAGGATGCCAAGAGCCAGTTCATAATTGTTGACTTGCATTTCCTTTCTTTACGACACCCCTTTGGCTTATCATGAGATGTAGGTTGCTATAGTTATGAGAAGTCTGAGCTGGGAAGGACTGTGGAAGATGCTATGTGTAGAGGAAACGTGTGGCCCGCTACTCCCTTGTCCAGTTGAGCCTTTGAGATGGCTGGAGGCGATCACCAGCTGCCTCAGTGCTGGTGGGTGGTACAGGATCAGTCATGCGTCTTTACCATTCCGCAAGCTGGGGAGGTTTCCTTCAGTAGCCTTAGGGATCCCCAAGAGGCCATGGGAACAGGACCCCCATTAGCAGGAAAGGTATCACTGCATCTCTGAAGCAGGCTGGGGAGCACGTGGCCTTTTGAGAGGACTTTTACTTAGCTACACTTAGCTTTATGCAGCAGGAGAGGGCCTGCTAAGTGGAGTGTGAGTGGCATGTCTGCAACTGAAGTCTCAGAGAAGCAGAGTGCCGTGGTTATAAGCCCAGGCTCTAGAATTAGATAGCCTGCTTCACACCCAAGTTCACCACCAGCTCTCTGAGACCTTGTGTGGTTACTCAGCACCCCTGTGCATCAGGATCCTTACCTGTGACAAGGTGATACTCACACCTGCCTAGACCTGTAGGGTGGTTAGGACGACCTAGGGAGGCAGAGCTTGAAAGGCAGTGGGAGCAGTGCCTGGCTGCATCGCAGGCATCACCAGGAGAGAAGAGAGTAACAGGCACACATTCTGGTCCAGCTCTGAGGCACTGCGCCATGTTTTCTTTTCTTTTTTTTTTTAATTTTTATTTATTTATTTTTTAGTCATACATGACAGTAGAATGCATTTTGATATATAATACATACATCTGCGCCATGTTTTCCAGGGTCTCACATTGAATACTTTTCTAAAAGGAGGAAAGTCAGTACTATAAATTTGAGTGTTCATATATTGAGTGGAATAAAATGACCGGTATTATGCAGTTTGTTGCATCTTCTTTCATAACATAAGAATGTTAAAAAGAAATTTAAAGGAGTAAGAGCTAGTTTTTCTGTAGCACTTACTAGCCTGTATTTGAGGTGCTGTTTCTTGGGCTTTTCAAGTATTAACTACTTGACTCTCCCTGATTGCTGTTATAGCTCCCAGTTTACAGTGAGGATCTAGGTGCAAGAGGTTAATTGGTTGCCCAAATGCACACACCTAGTGCATGGTGATGCTTAGATTACTTATTTTGTGGATTCCCTATCCAGAGGGTTCCCAGGCAAAGGCTGTACAAACAACTACCTGCTGGGGCTGCAGGTAGGGTTTGTTGCCAGGGGAGCCCGAGGCATTTGCTTCTGGCCTTGGTTGTAGATGATAAAACTTGACTTGCTAACTCAAGCAGGAAAAGCACCTGTCAGTCTGCACTGCTTAGCTTGCAAGATCCAGAGGAGGCTGAAGAACAGACCTGAGCAGACAACAAGAGGCCACAGTGCATTCAGAAGGCCGCTACCTGCCTGTTGCCTCTGAGACCCCCTGATTGGCTCTGCCTAGATCATGTGATAGCTTCCCATTGCATCCCTTCTCTCTGGGTTGTCCTGGCTTCTCCCCCCAAATCAGAAGAGTTTTGAAGTGACAGGCAGTCAAAATGACAAACGTCCTCTACCCTTGGGCTTCACCCAGATGCTGTGCATGGTCCCCCTAGCCTCAGGACTCTGTGACCCCTCTCTGCCAGGGCCAGGGCTGTCTTCTGCTGTTTTCCTGCAGCACCTGGAATGGAGCGTGACACCAATTAGGCTTCCAGTAACTGTTCTGCGCCAACTGTAATGAGTGTGTTAGCCTTTGGCACAAAGGAAACGAAGGATGCACACTTATTTATAGATCTAGCTTTTGATTCAGAACAGTCTGTTTCTTGACTGAGCTCCTTTTGTTTATCAGGAAAACAGTTGATGTTTATCATTCCTCTTAGGAAAGGAAGAAGAAAAGGCATTTCAACATTTAAATGTTTCTGTGTATATATTTAAGTACTTAGTGCTTATATTGCAGTGAATTAGCAGAGTAGGGCTGTTAGAACAAGCTTCAGTTTTAATTTCCATCTATGCTTCTGTCTCCATATCCTGGCTCCTCTGCCTAATTCAGCCACTGCGATTATCATCCTCGCTTCCTCTTCCTCCATCACCGCTCATCCCCCAGCCCCACTCAGTTTCTAAGACTTTTCATTGTTCACAGCACCCCCTCACTCCTGCCCTGCCCGCCCATCCAGCCATGCCACCCTCCATTCTGCCCCCTTGCTCTCCAGCAGGCTGCTCTGGTTTCCCCACAGTGCTTCTTAAAGGCACAACAGCTGCCGGTTGCAATTTGAAAGGCTCAGGGGTCAGGTTTAGATCTGGCTCTGTCACTCAGTATCTGTGCTGGTGCAGGATGAGTCCTGATGGAACCAGCAGAGCCAAGGGTACAGTGGCTTGGCCAGATTGCCCCTACCACAATAGCCTGGAGGGAGGCAGTAGTCCATGATCTTTGGCTCCTTCTCCACCAGGGGCCAGGCACTTCCTTTTTCTACTCTTCTAGCAGATGGCTTATCCTGCTTGCCACCTCCTGGCTGTCCTACCTCCAGCTTTGAAGGGGCAGGGCTGGGGCGTAGTGTGTGCTCCCTGAGGACACCCTCCTCTTAATGGGCTTTCGGGCCACCCCAGGCTACAGCTCCTGCTGACCTCATGCTATCTGAGTGGCATTTGTGGCTGCCCTCAAGTTGTTGACCAAGCACGTTGCCAGGGTCCCTCTTGCTCGGGAGCACCCATCCCGTACCATCACTCATCACATGGTAGGTGCCTCCAGCTGCTCGCGACTTGCTTTTTAATACAGTATGCTTTAGTTAGGAAAGGTTTTCCTGGTAACCAAGGTGCATGGTGTTCACATGATCTTATCCACAAGGAACATTTAGGATCCTGGAATTCTTTTTTTCTCCTGTCCGACCACCTCACTTTGCCTTTATCATAACCTCCAGCTTTTCACTTACTCTTGATTCTTGTCTTTTGGTCCCTGGCCACTAACCCTCTTTGCATTCATTAATTTGAGAGTATCACCCTCATTCTCTTTTCCTAGGCCAGCTCCAGAGCATCATAGAGAAAAATGGCAGCAGGGAGCTGTGGGTGCCATGGCATGGCCAAACCACAGTTTAAGGCAGTCCTCATGTGAGCAGTGTGAGGTTTTCCTTGTTGCTCAAAACTTTTTTTCTTTCCTTCCTCTTTCTAAAGTCTTAGCCCCACTTCCTTTTCCTCCCAGCAGCTACCTCATCCCCCTTGACAGAGCAGTGGTCGGTTGTCAGGGCCGCCTTAGTTCTCTCGCCCTCCTCCGAGAGCCTGGCCTCCTCTCAGCAGGCCTGTTGGACAGAGACCTGGTGTCTTTCGCCTTCCGGGGCCTCTCACTCCTGGGTGTCTTCTCCTTGCCTGTTCCTTCCTCCACATTGGGGACTTGATCCAGCTGCCTCCATGGAGAACAAGGACATAGAGGAGTGGCCCTTCTTCACCCCTGGGCCTGTGCCCCTGTTTTCCACTCGCAATCTGGAGTCTTCCTCCATCTTGCCTTCAGCTGCCCCTTGGAGCTGGGCCCACTGGTAGGTCCAGCAGCTGCTTGGCCTCCACTGCGACCACCCCATTGCTCCCCTCCCTGAGGCCATTCGGTGTGCTAACACACCCTCTCCTCACCCCAGGAGCCCCACTTTTGTTTCCTTCCCTGGCTCCTCTCTCTTCCTCCTTCAGGAGAGATGCTTCCCGTCCTGCCACTGTGGCCTGTCCTTGCTGATTCTGAAGCCCTTGGCCGTTTCATGCCCCTTCTTCCTGGCCAGCTTCATGGTGGTCCCTCCTCCCCTCAGCCCCCCACATCTTCCTGCGGCTCTGGTGTGATTGCATCACTCTCTGCAAGGACCTGACTCCTCACTTGGCTCTTTGTAGGTTGTATGTCACGACTGGGCTATGGCAGAGGGTGAAGGCAGTCACGCTATTGTGCAGTTATGGTGGCAAGAGGGCAAAAGATTTAGGGGCATGGGAGGCAGTGGGGGACAGCTTTGGGAAGAGCTATCATCTCAGGCTCCGCAGCCGCCCTAGCCTGACCCCATTCCTGCTGCATGCGGGGCTGGGTGTGCACTGGACATGCCGTGGCCAAGTGGAAGCTCAGCCTCTTCCTGGAGTGCCTCCCCTGCCCCATGCTGTGTGGTCTCCCTCCTCTCCTCGTTGTCACAGTCCACTCAGCGGCCTGGTGGCCTGGCTGCTGTGCCTGAGGCCTGTGAGCGCTTCACAGGACCGCAGCTCCCCCTGGGACACGTATGAGTTTGGGCCTTGTGTGGGGGTTGTTTGTGTGCCTGCCTCTTCTCTGTCCTCCATCAGAGCTACTTGAGATCAGGAATTATCAGGGATTGTGCTCGATCAACCACAAGTTGCCCGCCTTTGGCTCTGTGCGCCAGGCCGCGGGCTCCTCGGGAGGCCTTTGCTGAAAGGAAGCTCAGTGTGTGTAGGCTCCCGTGGTCCAGTGCCGATTCTCAGATGTCTGTCTGTTTATCTTTCTAAACCAGTGCTTAGAAAGAGCCATGAAGTTCGCCTTCGAGGAGTTCCACCTCTGGTACCAGTTTGCTCTGTCGCTGATGGCTGCTGGAAAGGTGAGTTGCCCTGTGCGCCCAGCCCCGTGTCGATGCTACCACTGACGCCGAGGGCTGAGGAGCTCCATTTCAGTTTGTCCTGTGGTCCTTTCATAAGGGCAATCAACTCGAATAATTTGGAGGCCAAGATGGAGGGATATAGCACTGAAAAGAAAAATTCTGAAGTATTTGCCTTTTTCTAGCTCTTGTCACTTATGTGAAAGGTTCATGGCTTAAACTAAGGCTCGTTCTGACCCTTGCTCTCCTTTGAGAGTGTAAGTGTACTTCTGGAAGGGGTCTTGGTTAACTTTAGTAATGTGTGTGTGTGCCATCAGGCTGTGTGATTCTGCACTGGGTGGCTGATCCACAGCACAGGGCCCCAGGGCAGGTCCCCTAGTGCCTTAGTTTGCTCTTCAGTAAAATGGAGCAATAATAGTATCTGCTTTGTAGAATAATTATCAGGCAAATGAGCCCAAGTGCAGAAGAGCTTATGGTGGTAGCCCCACTATGTGCACGCTTAATAAAGGAAGTAGCCATTGCTTTTCTTGTTAATTTGTGCAGTTTAGTGAATTTGACACTTAGTGAATTGTTAAGTTTGAGGTATAAAATTCTCTGGGCCAAGTGGACTCAGCAATTTAATATGGTATGGTTTAAATTGGATGGTTAGTATTTACCATAACATAGATTTCCACTGTCTACTACTTTCCTGTTTTTACAGTGGCGATAGTAGGGTGAGGCTCAGGAGCATTCCCACTTGTCTTTAGCCACAGTTTACTCCCAGCCACGCAGCAGGCCCAGCTCTGGTTATCTTTGTACCCGGGACCCACTGGGTTAGAAAACTTCAATAAGAGGGAGCCCAACCAAAATTCTCTGAAGGCATTATTAGTATTTGGTCCCATCCAAAATTTTGAGTTTCACAGAAGTCATCTCCCCTCATAAGTCTGCTCGGGCCGTGAAGGTGCTGAAAGAGTGTATCCGCTTGAAGCCCGACGATGCCACCATCCCGCTGCTCGCCGCCAAGCTGTGCATGGGCTCCCTGCACTGGGTGAGTAGGGCCGCCCACTCCACGGCAGGAGACTCAGGACAGACACCACCTTTTCCACGCCAAGGCACAGGGAGAAACTGATAGCAATTCACAGGGACACCAGGATGAGGCCCTTTAGTGCTCCAGGCCTGGGCCCCTGACCTCCGCGGGCCCTGCCCACACACCCCAAAGACAGAGAGGAATAGGATATTCGGGGATACTTCACATTTTCTTTTTTGTGGAAATATGATTCAGAAGTAGCAGGGATGCGGTAGTTTGGAATCCATGCCCAGGTACATCTTACTGTACACAAGCACCCCAGGACTGTGAGAAGTATGCCCCTGAATTATTCACACTTAGCTCAGCCTGGGGATCCCTGAGAAGCAGCGTCACCCTCTGCCTCATTCCTCTTCCTTCACCTTTGCTTTCTTCAAATATTTTGTTGAGATTTGCATTTGGCAATAGTCTGATTTGTTATAGTTTTAGTAGCTCAAAATGTATTGCTACAGTAGAAAATAGAAAACAGACTAATTGCTGAGATGTGGTAGAGATAACTGTTACATAAATGTAGTTTCATCTTTTCTAACTTCATATCAAGGTCAGTGGTAAGCAGGTGCTGGGGAGTCAGGCTGCCGGCTAACTTTGACTCTGTTCCTCCACCATGGTCCTTGCTGCCTGGCTCTTCCCGGGTGTTCCCCAGCAGGAGGGAGGAAGCCTTATGAAGAAAGTGACCACTTTTCTTCATTTTGCTTGAGAAAATGGAGAAAAAAGAAAGCATGCTCTCACCTGAAGCAGCTGTGGCATGGCACGGGGTGGTCATGTAGATTCTGGCAGTTCAGAGGCTGCAGGTGGAGGAGCAGTGTGGGCAGGGGGTGAGCAGAGGAGTGGACCAACCCTGGGGCGTGGAGCATGCCAGCCTCCAGCAGTGATTCTGCTGCCCTCCGGATTCTAGCTGAAGCTCTAATTATTACTGTAACATATACATCTCTAAACACCTCAGATAAACCCCTTTTTAAAAAATAGGAGTTACAAATCTCATCTGTATATTTTTTCTTACTTTTTTGTTAAATTTTTCAAACACCACAGTAGCTTGACCACAGTAGTCAAGAGTATAATGAACTCCATGAACCATCACCAGCTTCAATAATAATCAACATTTGCCACACTTTCAAAGGAACAGATCTTATTATTCTTGCCTCTAATGAATTGTGCCAGAGGTCTTTGCATGTGGTTTACAGGTGCACATTTCTCCTTGGAATCTGCTGGAGAGACATCCATGTGTTGTGTTCTGTCAAAAAAAAGATAAGAGTTTTGAAAATTTTAATAGTTTGTGGCAAAAAATATCCGAGCCTAAGTAGGTTCTTTATATCATAGAAAAAAAAAAAAAGGTAAAGACCCAAACACAAAACATTCCAAGAACGTTATTCTTTACAAATATGTTTAATTGAACTTCTGAACACCTAACACGATCTCATTACAAGACCCATCCATAAAAAAATAAAGATGAAAAAGATATAACCCTGCCAAATATGAAACTGACTTTGGAAAAGAAGGAAAATAAGCAAAGAAGGAAAATGAAGGGAAAAAAAGGGGCTGGATAGGAGAGTTAAGGGCTCTTAGAGGCTCTAAGGAGGAAGCAGAATCACCAGAGTGGAACTGGAAGATTCAGGAGCTATTTTCAAAATGACTCATCAGAATTCCATTTTGTGCAGCAAGTGCTTATGGGAACTCATGTTAGAAATTCTGCAGGTGGTTGTTGTTGTTGTTGTTGTTTTTCACTTGTCTCATTTTTCAGTTAGAAGAGGCTGAGAAGTTTGCCAAAACAGTCGTTGATGTGGGAGAGAAAACGTCAGAGTTCAAGGCCAAAGGCTACTTGGCTCTGGGGCTCACGTACAGTCTGCAGGCCACTGACGGTGAGAAGTTCCTCCTGTGGAGCCTGGGTCTGCTCTGCAGGACCCCACGGTCCCCTTCTGTCTGGGGAGGGTGCAGAAGTGGGGTCATTCTGACATAGCTGTGGGGACCCTAGTGCTCTGTCCTCTGCTGGTGTCACCACAGGCTCCTCGCTGATGGATGCAGAGCATCCGCTGTGAGGTGAAGAGATGATTCCCGTACCTGGCCTTATACTTGCTTCAGCCCCAGCCCATGACCTGGGCCATTCCCTAGTGAAAGGGTGTTGGCTCTTAGGTGCAGGGTGGTAGAAGAGTTCAGGGGCAGACACTGCCAGGAAGCATCCCTTGACTGAGCAGGAGCTCTCCACTCACACATTTTAATTCATGGCTATGCACACATGCAGTGCAACACTCACCAAATAACGATGGCTCTTTGAGGCATTGATTTTATACGGTTTAGATATGCTTAAAGTTTTGGTGGATGGACTTCTGGCTATTTTTTTCATTTTATTTTATTTATTTATTTTTGGTACTGGGGATTGAATCCAGGGGAACTTAATCATTGAGTCACATCCCTAGTCCTTTTTATTTTTTATTTAGAGACAGGGTCTCACTAAGTTACTTAGGGCCTTACTCAGTTGCTGAGGCTGGTTTTGAACTCATGATCTTTCTGCCTCAGCCTCCCGAGCTGCTGGGATTATAGGAATGCGCTACTGCACCTGGCCTAATTGTGTTTTATATATTAATGAAGTTTTCAATGATATGTTTATGGAATGTGTCATTCTGGTGATGGGTTTGGTATTGTCAATTTACAAATTATCCCCGATTCTTTCCTCTGCCCTAAAATATTGACCCTGGGGAAGTTTCACATATCAATTACTTTTCAAAATTGGATCTGGGGCTAATTTTCCATGTACACATGATCCATTGACCATACTCAGCACATTACCTCATAGATAGTAGACTTGCAGGGAGGAGTAAGTTTCAAGCCACAGCTTTACCATGTGAATTCTCAGTTGAGATTCTACCCTAATTAGCCCTGAAGCTTTGGGAGTCACTGGACCCTGCTGGACCTCCTCTTGCCTTCATGTTCAGTGGGTCGATCCAAGGTTCTCTCCAGCTCCGTTGCTGTTGTTCTAAGTCTGTGAGGGCCACAGCCACACCCAGCCCTCTGTCAAGTCAGACTGGGAGCTCCCTCCCTTGCGTAGCTACAGTTCCCCCCACAGAGGTGGTACTTCTCTCCTTGGCAGGCAGGCTTTGGGGAGCCATTTCTCATGCACTCTTCATAGCAGAAGTGTCAGCTTACAGCTGGGGGGCCTCCCACACCCTGGAGCTGATATGCCAGCATGCTGGGTTGGCGCTCCGTCCCCGTTTCCCACATCGAGGTTTCACGCTGGCCATTTCCTGGTGTGAAGCTGGCCTTTCATGGCATCATGCTCGTGCTCGTGGCCCTGGATCCCAGCTTCTCAGTGCCAGAGGATCTCTGAGGGCCCTCTGATCCACTGGGCTTGAATCCCATCCACACCATTCCAGTAGAACCAGCGTTTACCGCCTGGCTGCATGCCCACCCTTGGGATGAGCAGTGTGCTCCTTCCAGAGTTCCCTGCTGGTCTTTAGAAAATGTCCTCCATATACAATTGCTATCAAGAATGACCATCCAGTACACACCATCCCTTGGCATTGTCTACAGTGTCGTCCTCTGAGCACGAATGCCTCAAGAGTGGGACTGGCCTTCATGTCCCAGTAGGGCCCGCCATATTAGGCACTCAGGAATTGTTGCTTTGAATCCAGGTGAATGTGTCATTCTGGTGATGGGTTTGGTATTGTCAAAAACTCCCTGATCTCCATGCCACTGACTAATTGAACCCTTTTCTTAGCTTCTTTGCGAGGGATGCAGGAGGTCCTACAGAGAAAGGCGCTTCTTGCATTTCAGAGGTGAGTGGGAGTTCATCTTTTTGCTCAGTTTACATAATGACTCCAAAGTATGATAAGTATAAAAAGAAAGGTATTTATAAAGATTATGTAAACAGTGCTTTACCCCCAAGGAGCCTTCCGTCTGGAGCAGCGAACATGCAGCATCAAAACTCGCCGCATGGCTTGCTGCCATGTCCCTCTGCATTGTGGCCATTTATCCTGATGAAGGGAGCTCAGCTTGAAAAAGAGACACTTTGTCTAGGGAGATGGCTCCTTTATTAGAGACTTTTGTCATATCTAGAAAGGGGATCATTCTTTTCTGGATTTTTTTGTTACATATTAAGATATGAGGTTTTTATATTAAGAAATGAAAAGGCTAGGTTTTAGAGAGTCCCTGGAATACTGTGTTGGGAGTCAGCCCAGCGAGTCCCGGGCCCCACCCCTATTTGTCCCCTCACTTTGCGGGTGTGGACTCAGTGAGTGTCACGGTGCTCTTTTACATCCCTTACACACCCACAGGGCAGACAGGACAGCAGTAATGCCCCTGCAGCCAGCAGCTAAGGCATGGGCTTTGGAGGAGTCGCCAGTCCCAACGACGGAGGTCGAGTAGACCAAGGTCTCCTAGCTCCGGCCCAGGTTTTCTAACACCTACTGTACCACACTGCCCCAATCTTACTCTCATTAGATATAATAAATCACTAAAATGAAATTATTGCCTGAAAATTGTGGCCTCATGACATAAAATTTAGAAGCGAAATAGATTCTGTCACCTTAGATATATATCTGAGTTTCATTTAATTTCTTGTAATTGTATTAGAAGCTTAGTTATGTATTTGAAAATGTCACAAGCCCCTCTCATACCAGCCACCCTGTTGGGTCTCCCCTGAGGGAGGCCTTACCTCCAGCTGTTGTGGCGTCCACATGCTGTTTTTCACCAAGTCCTTGTTACTCGGCTTTTCGGTTAGTCTGAAGCACTTCCATCTCACTCCTTCCTGTTTCCTGGCAGGACTGTTGCTAGCTTCCTCGTTTGCCAGTCCCAAGCTGGTTCATGACAAAAAGTACCAGTTGACATCTGCAGACACACCTCCTGTCTCTGCTCAGGTTTTGTTGGTGTTCTTCAGCACAGAGCGTGGAAAGCATTTCCATTTCAAACGATTTCAGGTTTTAAATTCTCCAGCCCCAGTTTGTAGAGCCCACACCCGGCTGCCTCGGAGAGGGGCCGCTGCGTCTGCTTCACTCTTCTTAAATCAGCACATCTTACTGCTTCTCCAAAAACAGCCTCAGTGGTGGTCTGCCTGGAGCTGCCAGGGCGTCTCCGAGTTATGTAACAGCTGCTCCATTGGCCTGAATTCTTTTATGTTCCTTCAAAGGGATTTTAAAATATTAGTTCATATGGGAATAAAGAGTAATAAAATCCCAGTAACATAACTGACTATATTGCAGAAGCCTAACCTAAATTAGAATTTGTGGGAAATATAAAATGTTTTCCAAAGGAGTAAATTTGAGGGGAGTTCTTGAACACATTAAATGAATTGTAAACTTTTTTTAAAAAATAGTTTTTAAATTGTTGAGAACTTTATTTTATTCATTTATTTATACACAGTGCTGAGAATCAAATCCATACATGCTAGACATAGAGCTCTACCACTAAGCCACAATCTCACCATTTTTTTAGTTGTTGATGGACCTTTATTTTATTAATTTATTTATATGCAGTTGAGAGTTGAATCTAGTGCCTCACACATGTGAGGCAAGTGCTCTACCACTGAGCCACAACCCCAGCCCCATATTACTTCTTCAATGTAAATAGATAATTTAAACCCATGTGTACGATACTTTTTCTACCATATATTTACATATTCTCCCTCACAGTTCTGTTAATATTATTATTTTGTGTTTTTCATTTAAAAAGAAAATGGGATTCATAAAGGGGCAGGGTTACAGATTCAGCAGGTGAAAAAATAAGTCTTAATTATGACTAGAGCTACAATTCAGAAAGTTTTGCTATCCAGGGGATTCAAGGACTTGGTGATTCTTGAAGACATTCGAGTGGTGTGGCATCAAGTGACCTGTTTGCATACTCGTGAGCTTGACACAAGCACAGTGACGAAAACAGAATTGTTTGCAGGGTGATAAGTTGCCACTTCATGGCCTCTCATGTCCTGCTGAGAAAAGCAGTCCTGAACACAGCCGAGAGCCTGCTGGGGTGCCTTGAACCACACATGCAGAAAGCAAGAGCTGCTCCTGAGGAAGGGCATGTTGTCATTTGTGTTTCTCAGCGTGGCGTGAGGTACACACCCTCACTTTGTTCCCCTCTCCCTCCTAGCGTGAGTTCAGCGTGGTCTGCTCTGTGTGTGTGTGTGTGTGTGTGTGTGTGTGTGTGTGTAGGGTGACCAGCCATCTTGATTTGTTGGGAACTAAGCCATTTCTCAGAATGTGGGATTTTCAGTGCTCAAGCCCTGGAGTCCTGGGTAAACCTGTGTATGTAACTAGTGGAAGATACCTCAGCAATAGATATGACCAGGTGTGCCCATTTTTGTTAACTTAGTACACTAATCCCATGTCCCTGGAATGAGGACTGAAGGGGACTTGAGAGGCAGCAGGGCGATTGTATACAGATAGACCTCGGGACCAGGGTCGTCCTTTCCACACCTGGTTTGCTTCTTTAGCTGGGTGTTCTTGGGCAAGATACTTCATAGTAGATACTTCATAAATTGAAGTTGTTATTATTTCAAAGTATGTGCCTTATGGATCAGGGTCAAAATTGATTTGCCTTCTCTTTATTTTTGGCTCAGTTCCGAGGATGTTGGAGCTGGGATCTAGGAGAGCACTGGGTGGACCTGGGGCCTGCTAGAATCTAGCTGGGCGGTCTGGGCAGCCCAACAGCAGCCCAGCAGGCCTCTCTCTGGTGGAGCAGGCTTGATAGCTCCTCAAGGAAAGGCACTTGAATGATCCATTTCCAGGCTCCCCAGAGGGTGGCGTAGGCCTGGCACCACAGTTGGCATGTCCAGTGTGAATGGATGGGTAGGCAGTTGGATGGACAGATGGGTGGATGGATGGCAGCCTCTTCCTTGTGGAAGAGAAACTGATTGAATGAGTGTGGAGGTGCTTCGTGGGGATGTTTGTAGTTCTCTGGATTTCTCTTGGCAACATGGTGTGGGAAGGGGCTGGTAGGGTGTTTTGGATCACGTGCAGAGGGCAGCAGGCTGGCACCTGTGTTTTGGTGGCCTCTGTTGGGAGGGCTTTGCCCAGAAAGTTCAGCTGCTGAAGCTGTTCTGAATTGAAGCAAGGTTTTAGAGTCAGCCTGTGCACTTCTTCTTGCTTTGTTTGGCATTCTCCTGTTTCCTTTCCTCTTTAGTAGGCTAAAATAGTCAGTTTAATTCATTATCAAAATTTTCAAAATAAGGTATTTAGGATGCTTGTGCTGCCTCTTTAGCAATCTGGCAGTTAGGTGTTCATTATCAGCGAGGTCAGGGATTCTCCAGGTGTTGTGTTAATGCACCTCAGAAGTGCCAAGGTCGCCAGCACTCCTGCTTCTTCCTTTCCTGCTGGGGCCTTCGACCAGAGCTATCTTATCCAGGCTCACTCACCAGACCACTGATGGCCTTTCACTCAGTCTTGTGTAGGGGCGACAGTGATTCAGCTTCATTTGAGAAGATAGTGAGCTGTACCAGGAAAATTATAGCTCTCAGAGATTCTTTTTGAGGACTGTTAGAAACCTGGCTTTATTAGTTTGAAAGATGAGATAAAATAAATAACTCTAAATAATGCAGTCTCTTCCTAATCGATTTTGTAATCCTTTTCCCTGAATAATTGGGAGAGGCAGAAGCCATGACATTCCAGTCTCATAAACCAACAACAACAAAAAAAATCTTTTGCACAGAAATACATGGAAAACCAATACTGGTGAAATAATAAAACCAGAGCACAGGAGCAGCCTCTGGTATAAGTCATCCCAAAAGTAACAGGCAGGTTCTTGGCCTGGGCCTCCTCAGCTCAGGTGAGGCATCGGGAGGCCACATCCAGGGACCCGGCTGCTAGGGACAACCAAAATGGAAGTTTGCCTCACTTTTAAGATGAATAAAAGGACAGACACCAGTCTTGCACAAGCCTCTGCATTTGCCCAAACAGTGCCCAAAACTAGTGGACTAGCGTGTTTTCTAACCAGGCTCATGTAGGAGTCATTTTACTCCACCCCCCTCCCCACCTCCACAGATGCAGTTAATTTAAAAGTCTTGTTTTTATAGAACACCATCCTTGGCTGGTTTACCACAGTTGAATCCTTAATGACTTGGTTTTTTTGTTTTATCTTGATTTTGCTTTCTGCGGTAGAAGATTCTCCTTTAATCACAGAATGTAGGCAGAACAGCGTGATGGTTTGTTTGCTATCTGGGTCCCACCTTTTGTAATTAGTCTGTTCCAAGGTCTCTTCTAAGGAAAGTAAAAGTTTGTTTTTCTCTTCTCGCCGGACTGTTGAGTGTTGTACATGGTCCCATTTTGAGTTGTTCTTGGTGAAATACATTTGACTTCCATGTAAAAGCAAAAGACTTTTGTGGTCAGTCAGGCGGCTAGCACAGCCTCCTCACATCCAGCATCAAAGGCCAGTTAGTGAAGCCAGGCCCGCGCCCACCCCGCAGCCTTCCATAGCAGTTACGTGAACACAGTTAGTAAACTGCATGAAATTAGTAGGAGCTGCAAAAGACTGAATGGGTGTCTTTGCTCCATCTGGTTCATGAAAAACGAAAACCTCATTTTGTAAGCAAAGCTGGGTCTTTGATTTTCATATGATTTCTCTGAAATTCAGAAATTTGGATGAAGGGCGTTAAGGCCAAGCCAAACTTAACCAAAGCAGCCATCGCCTTCCCAAGTGCACACATGGCTTTTCTGTGACCCAGCCTCTGGGCCTCTCCTGCCCAGCCTGAAGGAAGTGTCTGTGGGGGAGGCCAGACCTAGGGCCTGTGGATTCTCCACTCACGGTCCCTCTGCAAGGCCTGGAGCACTGGCTGCCTTTTAGACACTAGACAAGAGGCAGAAACGTGCTCCTTGTCATTCCTCTACACCACGGTCAGAGGGAAACGCTTTGCATTGGTTAAGGGACAGGGAGGAGAACGTCATCACAGAAACTACCTCCGTGGCGGTGGCATGATGATGAGGTGTAGAGGAACTTGCTTCTTTGATCGGAAGTAAAGTGGCCTCTCCCAGTGTACTAATGGCCATGAATGCTCTTTCAGGGCCCACAGCCTGTCACCTACTGATCACCAAGCAGCTTTCTACCTGGCTCTGCAGCTTGCCATCTCCAGACAGGTCAGTCTCCGTGATGTTCCCTAACCCTGGCGACGCTTCTAGTCTGCACAGTTCCCTCGGCTCCACAGCTTGAGGTGGCAGGTGACCTTCCCTCATTCTCTTGAGGCTGACTTGGAGCCAGGGGCTCCTCCCAGAAGACACTGACTCCTCCCAGAGGAGACTCTGGAGTTTTGGTCAGTGTGAGCATGAGCCGTGAAAACACAGGTGTTCCAGGGTCTACTTTTGGAGATTGAATTTACAAATCTGTTGGGTTTTTACAAATCTGGCAGGTTCTTGGCCTGGGCCTCAGTTGACAACATGGGGTGCAGAACATGGCATTTACGCTGGTCCCTGCAATCATCAAAGAGCCTTTGTCCCTTGCTAGGGTAGCAGAGCCCAGTGCTGGGCTGCATGGCAGGAATTCAGTCACTGGGTGGGGCTGGTTGTCATGAGGGCATCCTTCATTGACAGGAAGATGCCAGCAGATACAAAGATACCAGGTCCATTAGAATGCACGGAAGACATGTGCAGTTGCACCCCGTGGCTACTTGTAGCAGGAGATGCAGCAGTGTTTTCCGTGCTAGAGGGCAAACCTTGCTGGCCTTCACTCTTCCCAAGGCTGTGAGTGCTACCCTGGTGTCCCCTCCCAGCTGTTCTGGAAACTAGCCACATGCCTGCCTACCCACCAGGTGCAAGACACTGGTGGTGACCCCAGCACATTCCAGAGTGCTGCCTGGGAGGGTGAATCAAAGGTCAGCTCCCCAGACATGCCGTTCTCGGGAAGGCCGGGCTGAAGCGTGTGTCTCACTTCCCCATTGCCTGGGAGTGATGTGGAGAAGTGACTCCCATTGGCCATCCGGGGATGGAGGAAACCAAGACACCCCCTCTGTAAAGGTCCTCTCCCCTGGCAAGGTGTGGCTCACAGCTGAATTGATCAGGAACTACTGCTGGGACAGATGTGAGCCGAGCACTGACTTGGTCTCTTCTTCACCAAGAGCTTCCCTCCCTTCCTCTGCAAAGCCTCTAGCAGCCTGCCCTCCCTCCTCTTGCACAGCTGTCTTTTTCATTATTAGTCTTTCCCATTGAGCTTGAGATGCCAGGAGGGCAGGAGCCCAGGTCTGTCATCATCATTGCTTTTGGGGCTGGCTGATGGCCTGGCACTTGGCACACTGCCTGATAAGTGATCAGCACCCACTGTGATGCGCCAAACAAAGGAGCCAGCCTTAAATTCCCTCAGGTCAGCTGGCCTGATTTTTGAACTCAGTTTGTCCCTATTGCTCTGGTCATCCCTACAAATCGACACTATGAGTACAGCCTGCCTTCTGCCCCTTCCCATGGCATCACGTTGAGTGTTGTTCCCATGGTGGGTTGTCATGCAGGGAGTGGATAGCAGATGGAGGCCAAGAGTACGGCCACACATGGTACCCAAACCCCATAGCTCTCAGGGAATGTTTCCTTGCTGACCAGGGACACTGAGGTCGTGAGCCTCCTGCCTTCGAAGCCAATACCATTTGACCAGGGGGAGAGCATGGAGAGGAATCAGAAGATCTAGAGTCATCTCATCTCACTCAACAGCTGGGTGACGTGCTCAAGTCCTTTCACCTCTGGACTTCAGTTCCTCCCTGTACATGAAGGATGGCGCCAGCTGATCTCCCTTCCATCTTGGCCGCCATGATGCTGGTTTCCAAAGCAGAAAGCATTTATCATCTCCGTCCACACAGAGTGGAGGCTCGAGGAAGAAAAGGAATAGGTTCAGAAAGCAGAAGCCATGGTTTCTAGTGAAGGGCTAGGTTCCTAGGGCTTAGGGGGAAGTGGGGGAGCTGGATGGATCTGAGTGGAGGCCCCATCCGGTGCTGGATTCCAGGTGGGAAGGAGTCCATGGGGTGGCTGCAAAAGAATACTTCTGTCCCCAGCTCTGTTTTGAAATCCAGCTTCAGATTCTCATTCCCCCTAGTCCCTGTTCTGCCTGCCCAGACTCTGGGGTATTCAGGTATCCACCATGTTTACACGGTGCCAGCCCAGTGCTTGAGTGGTTGTGAAGAACATCTTGGACAGCTGTTGCATTTAAAGGTTAAGGTTGTATCTTGTCCCACCTGAATTTGGGTACATCTGCTTTGTATGTGGCATTGCAATTTGTTTCTTGCATCCAGTTATTTTGGGTTATAGTTTGGAAAGGTGTGGGGTTTTGTTTTGTTTTTCTCATATTTCCTTGATGGCAAATGGAGATCTGGACATCTGATCATTTGGAAAGTTTTGTTAAATTTTTATGACAAATATTAAGTACTTCAATGTCATAAATACTATAAAAAATGAGAATAATTCAGCCGCAGCAGTTTAATTCCACTAAAACCCCCTGGCAGTTTGTCCATGTTTCCATTTACAGTGGAATCATCTTGGACATAATCAAAAGTAGATCCATTTTCTGGGGGTGAAAAAAACAAGAAACGCTTATTTAGGGAGAAATAGAGATTTGGTATGGTGTTGGTATAGAAAAGCAGGACTCTTGCTTCCCTTCACAGCCCATCCCACTCCCTCTGTCTATTTTCCTGTTCGTGGTTTGTATCCGGGGCCTGCCAGGAAGACTTAGCTTAAAGTGCAAACATGGCACAGTGAGACACAGGTCCTGACATTTAGAGCCAGATATTGCACGATGACCTGTTTCTTGTGTGACTGCATGTGTGTTAAAAAATTCTTTTTGGTTATGTTTTAAACCAGATACCAGAGGCTCTAGGGTACGTCCGCCAAGCTCTTCAACTTCAAGGCGATGATGCCAACTCCCTGCACCTCCTAGCCCTCTTACTGTCAGCACAAAAGCATTACCACGACGCGCTCAACATCATTGACATGGCCCTGAGTGAATACCCCGAAAATTTTATGTAAGTGATGACAGGTTTTGATTTTCCCTTCCTCAGAGGTTACTAAATGGACTCCTTCCCCCTCCTCCTTCCAGTTTGTCCAGTGAGCTCCTCATGGACATCCTGGGAGTAAATAATATAAATCTCCTTTACTCTTTTTTTTTTAATTTTTTAAATTCTAATTTGTCATGTATGACAACAGAATGCATTACAATTCATATTACACACCTAGAGAAATCTCCTTTATTTATTTATTTTTCCTAATAATGAAAAACAATCTTAGTCCGCTAGGTCGTTCTAATGTGGCGTGTGGTCATCCCTGTTTAGGTGAACTACTTCAGCCATTCTGTCCCCACGTGTACTCTTGGAGCATACAGGATGATTTTATATGGATTGTAGATAGATGAATATTTTAATAATTATACATTTTTAGGTTTTCATTAAAAATATATTGTGTATCAAAGCATGATTTCATGAAAATTATTGCTTAGGGGGAGACTAAAAATGTTTAGCCGTTTAAAGAAAAGTATTAAGAAAATACAATGCACTTGGATGTGGTGAAATGTCTGTTGAACTCTAGTGACTGGAATTTGGCCAGCTTTGCTTTGTGGCTAGCTTGTCTTGTTTCACCAGGGGCTGCCAGGAGCTCTGGCTGGTTATGCTACTGCAGCAACTTTGATTAAGATCTCTTACCTCCTTGAGCCTTAGTTTTATTCTCTAGGAACTGGAATAACTTAAAAAAGTCAATCAACATTTGTATACATTCTAAGAATTGTAACCTGTCATATGCTTGAATTGCCCATTTACTTCACATCTCTTTTCTGAATCACATTTTTAATGAGCTCATGAATCTGGAATTCATGGAATCCATACAGTGGGGTCGGCTTTGTGGAGAACATTGCCTTTGGGCTACTGGGTTACCATTTCATCCTCAGTGGTGGTAACTTGGTAATCCGTACACAGTGGCCAGACACAGTCCACACGCCTGCAGGCTGGAAAGTCTAATAGTCTACATGGTGGCAGAGCCAGTGACGGGGAGGAGGGAAGGAAGGCTGCCCAGGGTGGCCCTACAGGCTTTTTCACTTTCAGAAGTAAGTGCGGTGGCAAACTTTTAAGTGGGTCAGCTTTGCCTTATTTCTCTGCCTCTTCACCTCACTGGGTTTTTTAATCAGTGTGTTTCAGCAGCTCTCCTTGGAAATTGGTTCACACATTTCCATTACAAACATTTCTTTGTCTTCAGTGAAAGGGCGTTTCTCTTCTCACCATCCACAGAATTCTTGTTTTAATCCAGGAAACCTCTGACCAGAGGTTGCTTTTGTAGCTTCAGCTATTTGTGCAGAGTGAGTGTGTTCTGCTTCTGGTAGATCTCAGCCTTGCTCTTCTGCACAACCATACTTTCTGGATTTTCTCCCAAGATGTTTAGCCCAGGGAACCTTAAAATGGTTAAAATACTTTTAAAAATATTTGGTCTTTTACCCATCCGGATACAGTGAAGTACAACCTGATACAATTGAACTCAGTTTCTCCCCTCAGTGTTTATAAGGTGCCATTCCCCCCTGCCCACCCAAGCACGCACATGCGCACGCCCACCGCCCACCCCGTCTTCACTAGATGTTAGACTCTGGCATGTGATTCCTGCTCCCACAGCCCAAGGTGTCCTCCAGGAGGAGGTTTATTAAACTAATAAGCCACACTACACAGTAAGCAGTCAACAGTGGCAGCTAGTATGGTGGTGCCTCCAAGTGACAGCAGCTGACAGCCTTTTCAAGTAGTAGAAATAAGGAACAGCAGAGGAGATATTTCAGGAATGCAAGCCTGTTATTTTAATGTTAAGCCTTAAGCTGAGAAGCAAAGCGCATGGCTGCAGGACTGAGAGCAGCCCGAGACTTGTTTGCCTTTAGAATACTTGTACTTCTTCCTTTGGGACGGAACTTCTTCCCAAAGGAGGAGGTTTACTTAGTAAAAGTTGAGGCCAGGTGTAGTCAGTGGATCTCATGGTTTCTTCCCAACCTGGGTAAGACATTTCAACACCAACCTGAACAATAGTGAGTGAGCACTTGTCCCAGCCACTGTGTGATGTTATTTGTTTGTGACAAGCTTGTCCCCAGAAGAACTGTAGAATCTCTGGAGCCTGGAATTGCTTTGAGTCTTGGCGCTACCAGTCACACCTAGCAGATGGGGTATATGGTAGTTGTTTTGTCAGGTCTTGCTACAGGGAAGTGAAAAGTCCCAGTTAGGGTCACTCTGGTCCACCTGTTGAACAGTTGCCATATCAGACAGCTGGGAGCTTCACAGGAGCAGCTGATCTCACCAGTGATACCTGTCTGTATTAGTCTGTTTTCCGTTGCTATAACAAAACATCTGAGGCTATATTAGCAACTGTAGGGAAAAGAGATTTATTTAGCACACATTTGGAGGTTCAAGAGAGCATAGCTTCTGCTCGTCTCCAGTGAGGGCCCCCTTGAGTATATGACATCACAGCAGATGGCATCCTGGTGGGAGCACTGTGAGAGAGAGCGAGAGAGAGATCACACAGTGAGACAGGAACCCAGAGAATTTTTAAACACATATGCAGTCACACAAGGGGAGGGTTGGCCTGGTTCTTTTATAACAACCCATGCATGAGAACTAACTGGAGTCTCATAAGAATTCCATCACTTACTCCAGGGCCTGCTCCAGTGACTCAGTTATTACAAGATACGCCACCTCCCGGCATTGCCGTGCTGCTGACCAGGCTCCAGCATGTGAAATCCTGAGGACACTCAGACCATATTCAAACCATGCATCCTCTTCTGTGGTTTAGATGAGTGTCCTCCAGTTGTCCACGTGTTAAAGGCTTGGTGTCCAGGGTGGTGACTCTGGGAGGTGGTGTAGACTTTTAGGAGGTAGGGTCTCGTGGGAGCTCCTTAGGCCACTTGAGAGTGTGTCTCAGGAGGGATTATGGGACCCTAGCTCATCCCCTTGCACCCTGCCTGTTTTTGCTTCTCGGATCATGATGTGAGAAGTTTGCTCCACCCTGCTCTCCTGTGATGATGTGCTGCCCTAGTCAGAGGCCCAAAGCAATGGGGCGGGCACGCAATCTTGGACTAAAGAACCTCCAGAACTATTAGCCAAAATAAACCTTTTCTCCTTTTTTATTTTTTAAAATTATTTTTTAGGTGTAGTTGGACACAATGCCTTTATTTTATTTATTTATTTTATGTGGTGCTGAGGATCGAACCCAGGGGCCCCGCACCTGCCAGATAAGCACTGTACCACTGAGCTACAACCCCAGCCCCAAACCTTTTCTCTTTATAAGTTAGTTGCTTCAAGTATTTCATTACAATGATGAAAGCTGATGAATACGTCATCCTTATTGTCACCATGAAATGGTAAAAGTTGGTGTTTAAGTACTTTGAATAAGCTTAACAGGACCAACTTGCTGTTTGCTGAGAGGCATCATCTCAGCCATTTTATCACTCCAAGCAGAACTGAGACTGAACAACAGATTTCAACAATTGGGAAGAATTTCCTACATGTAGGGATTGTGAGAACCAGGAATTCTTTCCTAGAGGAATTGCAGAGATAAATTCACCACTCTGGAGAAGCAGCCATTTTTCTGGGTATTATACGGTTCTCCATAGAAGGAAAGGAATGTGGAAGGATCTTCTGTAGTATTTAAGAGGCAAAAAAAAAAAAAAAAACCTGGCTTAGGACTTCAGTTCCTCCACTTTTGAGTAAGTCACCAAATCTGTCTATCTCATTTCCTCATTTATAAAATGTGGTAATATTACATAATAATATATAATAAATATTATTTGTAAAAATAACACATCTCAGAAGGTTATTGCAAGAATTGATTTTGTTAGTTCATTGAAGGCATTTGAACACACTAATCACTCAATAATCAGTAGGGATTCATATTATTACCACCAACAGTACTACAGTGTCTTCAAATTTGATATTTCAGAATCCTTTAAAATTGTTGTTAGTAAGGCTGGGCTCTGGATGAGGTGGTGCCTGCCTATAATCCCTGCAACTCAGGAGACTGAGGCAAGAGGATCACAAGTTCAAAGCCAGCTTCATCAATTAGTAAGACCCCAAGCAACTCAGTAAGACCCAGTCTCAAATTTAAAAAACTAAATAAAAAGAGTTGGGGATGTAGCTCAGTGGTAAGTGCCCCTGGATCAATTCATGGTACCAAAAAAAAAGCTCTTGTTACTAAATATTGAACGGAAGCAAAAGAATACTTATTCAACATTTAAAATAATGATAAACTAACTATTATACCCATTTCTTTTTAAAATTTTTTTTTTTTTTTTTTAGTTTTTGGTGGACACAACATCTTTATTTGTTTGTGGTGCTGAGGATAGAACCCAGTGCCGCGCACATGCCAGGCGAGCGCACTACCGCTTGAGCCACATCCCCAGCCCTGTTATACCCATTTCTTAAGAAAAAGAACATTAATGCTGCCTATGAATTGCCCAGGTGTATTATTTGTATGTAAATATGTGCTTCCTGTGGGTATGTATTTCCTGTTATTACACGAGTGTTCTCCCTAGCCACTTCTCACACCCTACCTGGCAGGTTAATCAATGTCCTGAATTCTGTATTGAGCATTCTCTTAAGTCTCCATACCACTGTGTCTGTACTCTAAAATAATGAAATATTTTAGTTTTGCATGTTTTATATTTTTTTTTAAATGGAGTCATACTCAGTGTATCCTTATGCTACCTGCTTTCATTGCTTAGAATTCTGATCCTGAGGTTCCTCCTTGATGCATGCAGCAATCATTCATTTATTTGCACTTAGGAATTGTGTTTTATTGTATGAACTAAATTTACTTATCCAGTCACTGTAAATAGGTATGTGGGTTGTCATGCCCCATGCCACGGTCAGTGCTCTCTTCTGTTCTCCTGGTGCACCATTTCAAGGGCCTCCCCAGGTGTGTCCCTGGGAGTGAAGTTGTTAGGTCAGAGGATATGTGTATCTTCTACTTTACCAAAGAATTCCCAACTGCTTCTCAAAGCAGTCATGCTGTC